AGATGAAATTGAAACTTTAAAAAATTTCCTGGAGGTCAAGAGAGCAGTCTTGTAGAGCGACCTGAAGCTGATGTTTGTTCGTAGTTTCCCGAGAAAAAGTAAGCAATAATCCAGTTATATCATTACGACGAAAAAGACAATGATTCGCGACTTTTCTGAGATGTTAGGAGAGTACTGCGGTTTTGTCAAGGAAGGATCAGGATGCCTCATCCATCGGAACACAGCATTGTCGCTTACTTCAGTAATCCAACTCTTTTAATAACTCCCACAGCGTCAAATTTCCTAGTATCCAGGTATTTGGTTGCGCTGAAATGACGTAGTACGACGCAGTGATATCTAGGAGTCGAACAGACCGTGATGAGCACTGAATTGAAGGCGCTGGTGAATGCAACAATTCCAGTTACCGTCAATGCGTTCTTTCAAACAAGTTTTGCACCTGATGCTTTTGTTGTCAACGAACTTCCTCTGTTTGTGGTGCTTGGAATACTTTGCGGTATTTTGGGAGCTATGTATATATCACTCTATCGGAATGTGGTGCTATTCTTGCGAAACAACAAATATGCTAAGGGATTGTTTCAAAGACAGTGAGTTTTCTTTTTTATTGCGGTGAAGAACAAGTGATTTATTGGTTTTCAGTTGGATTGTCTACCCTATCTTCGTCTCCTTCGCATATAGCAGCATCTCGTTTCCTCACGGTCTTGGGAGGTTCTCCACAGGAAGGGTGAGCTTTTGCAAAGAAAGGTTCAGCTGCAGTTCCCAATAAACCTCGCAGACTCTGCATTAAATTAAAATACTGCTCCTAATTTTTGAAACATCTACGCGTCGCGACGGTTTTGTAGCGTCGCGACGCTACAGAACCGTCGCAAACCGTCGCACCGTCATAACTCCCTCGGAAGCAGATGAAATGAAAGGCTCTTTACAGCGATGGACTCGTCTCTCTGTGGCGAGTCTAACCATGTGCAAAACTACTGATTTGGTTGAGTTGTAATAAGTTATTCCATGAAAACTATTGTCGATCCCTCGTTTGTCGTCTCCCCTCTCCACTATCTCTCCAATCGAGGACCAGCTCTCAGTAGGGAACGGTCAAGGAATTGACCTCCGCGCCGCCGCGCGCGGCCACTTGGGCGGCGTCGCGACGCGACATTTTTCCGAGGGGCTCGGGATTTTTTGGATTTGATGGTGGGAGCAGCGAATTTCCTGCAGTCCACAATAATCTCTGGGGCGCGGATACCAAATTCCAACTCCCATGCTCTGGCTTTTTCATAGAAAGTGGCGTGAACAAAATTGTTTTCGATTTCATAATAGTAATATTGAAAAACATATGAAGAAAAAAAAAGTTTGAAGGAATTGAAACTATGCGCGCATTGACTGAAGTTGAATCTTGAAGAGACGGGTTCAAAGAGCGTTCCACTAACGTTCAGTCAGAATGACACACAGAAACTCGTCCACTGCAGTTGCAACGTCGCGGCCATGACCAGCAGCGCGGGATCCAAACGGCTCTGTTGACATACACCCGCTTTCAGCTCCCCGCCTTGATGATTTCATAACGCCTCCGAGCCACGGTCAACCGTCGCCCTCGAACCGATTTCCAATGTCTTACGAGCCCCATTTCTCCTTTTGAACGAGTCATACGGATACCATACCCGCCCTTCCCCGGTCCCTCCGCTCTCCGGTTAACAGTTACTTTGAGCAGAGATGCTTGGGATGCACGTGCGGACTCGGGGCGTCGCATTGAATTCTATTGGCGCGCGTCACCCGTTGCGCCGGGAAGCCACTGATCTAACCACCCAGTCATTATAATGTTCTTCTGCCAGCGATGGAATCCTTATTACTGGCCTGACGTTCCGTTGCCCTCGTTTTGGTTTCCGGTTCCTACCCCTCATGTACCGTCAGAATAGAAACATGTTCGCAGGGAGAGGAGGCCAGGCCAGGGTGGCGGTTTGAAGGACGTCTCTAAGCCTTTGAGCCTTGTTTATACCTTTAAGAAAGATGATCGGGGAAATGGCAGGCTACTAATAAAGTCACCACCTAAAACCCTTGTTGCTAGAAGAAGTACACTATAATTACAAAAATCTACGAGAGGTTGGAGTTTGCTCCAGAAAGTGATTGTCTAGCATCTGGAACTCTTCTTGTTACGAAGTTGAGGGTTAAGAGTTCATTAGGATGAACACTTCCCATTAAAAAGTCTCTTCACAAATGAGAGACTACAAATTGTTTTCTTCCTAGTACCCAACTTTTTTAAGTTTTCACTTCTTCAAAAGATCGTCCCGTTGGTCTTTTT